ATTTCACTTCTCTGCTTGGTCTACTTCATCTCCGGGACTCTGAAGGTGCTGTGCATGGTGCCCTGTATTCCCTTCTCTGCCACTCTGGAAACCTTAGCTTATTAGGAATTTCCATCATCCAAGAATTTTGAAGGGATCAGGGAACCCAGGAAGAGTTTACTCCTTAGCAAAGATCTCTGGGTTCATCGAAAGGGAGAATCATGCCTCCCTGGTTAGCAAGGAGGGCTTTAGAAAATACTTCGCAGTCAGAAGTGAAGGTAAAATCAAGGAGACTGAGGAAGAGTGATGAAGGCACCCTGGCATTCTCCTAAGGCAGCGCATGGCCAACAGCTCAGTGTCTCCTGCCTGCTCTGTCCATGGCTCCCCACACGGTTCTGAAAGCCCAGAAGTGTCAGGGCAAGAGGTTTTACAGAGAGGGGTCAGACATGAATACACCCGTTAGAATAAACTCCTAACTCTATAACATGGCATTCAGACTCTCTTCCAGCATTATCTCCCTAGTCTGCTATCTCTGGGACACAGATGCTCACAATGTCTCATCATTGGCAGGAACCCACACAATTCTCAACCTCCATGTCTTTGCATAGCCATTTAACTTGGCCTAGAATGTTTCTATGTCTTTTCAATTCAGAAAAACTGTACAGAAACTTGAAAGCCCAACTGAAACAACTTCTCCTAAGAAGTCTGCCTTCTAGGAGTTTCTGAGACCAAAGAAATCAGGGTCTTCTTTCTTTTTTTTCTCCTAAAACTTTGCATGTACACTGGCTTTAGATGTTAGGATACTAGAGTAACTATTTGAGTGTGAGTGTGTGTGTGTCCAAGTTACCACCTGAGATCCCTTATTGAGAAGGTACTGTCTTGTCTAGGTTTCCAGAATGTTCTCCGCTTCATAGTTGATAAACTGAAACATTGAATGAGTTGACTCATGCCTGTGAGGAGACTACCATTTACAGGAAGCTAAACTTTAAAACTATGAGAAGTTGTCTTTTCTTCTTCTGGTTTGGCAAATAGCTTTCATTCTTTAATGGAAAGCTTTAATTGGAGACTTAACTCTGTATTTGGTAATGGGCCTTACTAAAAATGGATTAGAGCAGTTAATAAACTCCCTCCCTAAATGTTAACATATTATAGGGCCTGCAAAGATTACTTAACTTGGCAAGAAAACTCACATTAAAGATCAAAATAACAATTTCCTGGATTTCTGTGTGGGCTTCTAACTTGTCCCAGTATCCTTGGGCCACGAGTAAACAGCTGTGACATAATCAGTAACTTCTGTAAATCGACAGAAATCCCAAGCTCTTTGCTGTTCTCTTGCAAGGAGGGTGAAGGAAGAAACAAGAGTAGACATGAAAGAGTAACTAGTTACCACAGCCAATTTTTAGAGCGCATGTTGTGAGCCACCCTCTCTTCTAATAGCTTCGCCTAAGTGATCTCTACAACCCAGCTGGGATAGGTTCTGCCGTGAGTCCCACCTGGACAGTGACTCACCTGCGATGCAGAGTGGGTGGGTCTTTCCCTAGGTCATATAGCTGGGACCCTAATTGATGCATTTGATTTGAGAGCCATGATTCATAAACACTCTGTTAAATTTTCTCCTTAATTAGAAACAACTTCAGGTTCAGAGAGGTCAGCTGAGACAAACAGACAGAGACATGCCCTGAAGGACAGGATCCCACGTTCTTCACGCCAGGACAGGGGCCAGTGAGCCCCGGGTGCAGCCAAGCTGGGCTGTGGAATAGGCCTGGACTGTGGTCTGAATTTAGCTCCGTAAGGGGCAGGGTGCCTTTTGGCACGTTGTTCAAGCCCTCAGTACTCTGTTTTCCTCACCTGTAAAATGGGTGGTTTTGAGGGTTAATTGAGACACTTGATGTATGGAGCTCAGCATGGTATCTGGGCACATGAAGCGATGGAATAGAAGGGTGAGGGGTCGGAGGAAAGGCGGCCGTGGTAATAAGCTTCTGCTAAGGCAATCGTCTTAGAATTGTTCCCATTTCTGTGGTCATAAGAATGTCCTAAACAAACAAAAATTTCTGAAAGGCCCTCAGGAATCTATTTGTCCCCTTGTGCCTTTCTCCTCTCAGAAGTGGAAACCAATTTCCACTTCTCTTTTGCCTCCTTGCCTCCCATTCAGCCTTACCCATCTGCTGGATTGTGGTCTGGCCATTCAGCTGCAAGGACTGGCCCTTAGATCTGTGTGTGGTCCCCAGCTTGCACCCAGGCACTCAGCATTGCACAAATACAGCTGTGCAAAAGTGTGCTGCCCTCACCTGCAGCCTGGCTGAGCAATATCTTGCCAGCCCATGTCCATTGCAGGGTAGGAGAGAGTGGAGATATTCACCTGAGAACGTCCTGCTGGCTTTGGCAGATTGGTGCCAACAGGTGAGAGTCTTCCCTCTTTGAAGCAGGGCTAGTGAAGCTAGGTCCGTCCACCTTTTAGCAAAGTCACAAGGATGCTTCCCACAAGCAAGAGGGGATTGTGGGCTATTTCACTGAGCTATCACATTGATCTTAAAACCAGATGGAGAAATTTATGGATTTCAAGGAAAAGTCTCAATGTTAGTGACATTCAAACACCAACAGCCTGGGCTCTGGTGGTAGGCATAGTCCCTTGGTTCAGCTATCCACAGCTCTGCCACTTTCACAGGCTGAGCCAAGGTGACTGAATTCCTCACATAACCAAAACACTCATTCATCATGCGTGTTTATAGCAACTGACACACTTCAAGGCCATTGACAAAAGGCAGCCTGCTGATGGCCAAGGGTTTCACTGGTCACGCAGTGGGAAAGGACATTGGCCAAGCCTTGAGATCTGGGTAATATGTGACTTATCTCAGGAACGTCTGACTTTGAAAAATATACAGAGTGACCCACAATGGACCCTTAAAATTCTACTTTCTGGCCTTATTCATTCTCTGCCTCATTAAAAATGTTGGTTGTTTAAAATTGCTGAGGGATAATTAAACAGACCTGCAGTTGATTTATGGGAGACAAACAGAGCTATGAACGCACAGAAAAATTGTGTTCTGAGGGAGGTAATTTATGAAGATAAAGCTAAATGCTGATAGGGAAGAAGCCCAACTCAAGACTGGCTCCAAATCTCTGGAGGCCACAAACGTCCAGGTAAGTATCACATCCTGAAATTCTGGCCTATGTTTTGAGTTTAGTGGCTTTTTAATCCTATCTCAAGACCTGAAAGAAAAAATGAAACGCTGCACCCACATACCTACATATACCCACATGCACCCCCATTTACTTCATGTAACCATGGAGGCTAAACTATGCTTGGAATTTGAAGTGGAATCAAAGAGAATGGTTGTGATAACTGAGTCTGATGAGTGGTCTTCCCTTTTTTCAACATCCAGAGGTTCCCAGCAGTGTGTCTAATGCTCTCCATAAGGTTGTTTTTCCAAGTTATGAATTGGAGGGTCTTGGTGCAGTTCAAGCATATCTAGGGCTTCAGTCTGGGAGTTCTTTGGGTGGGCTGGGGAAGGCTTCATTGATTTCTGTTCTTGGTGAAGCTCGCAGTAAGAGAACAGAACAGAACGGTTTCCATGGGGAAAACCGTCTTGGAAGGCAGAGGACATCCAAGACTATGAAGCACTTGGGTTTCCCAGCCTGGCTGAGCTCACTGCTGGTCTTGGAGCAACCTTGGTCAGCAGAGAGGGCATCTTGAAGAGGGCCCTGCAGCCCTGTGGTTCCAGGCCACAGCAGCAGCTTCCAACAGCTGCACCTGAGCCATAGCCTTTGTCCTGCCCTCTCTGTCTGGTCACTTTTGTCCGTCATTGGTCAGCCAATCAGGGACATCTGCTTCTGGCCACTTTGAAGGGATGACTCTCTTCTGCCTCAAAGGACGGCTCCTTCCATCCTGAGAGGTAGTCCCAGGGAAGCCAGCATGGGCCAGGTCCTACCTGGGCACATCCGTGCATTGACCCAATGCTCACTTCTGGCCACATTTTCTCTCATCAGCTGCACCCTGAGCATATTTCGATTCCTAGCATCTCCGACTCAGTGGCCCACACCAGAACCGCGGGTAGGGTTCAATACCTGATCCAGGATCCCAGATAACTTCCTCTGCCTGTGTTGTCCCAGATGTGCACCCCAAGTGTCCCATAACTTCCCAGGGAAAAAGAAAACTGAGCTCTAGGAATGACTACAGGGCAAAATAGCATTCATTAGCTATTTTCTCTATGTGGATCTTTTAGTGAAGTGCTCCTAACAAAATCAAGGCGATCCTAAGAAAAATGGCTTGATCCCAATTTCCTTCTCATTTCATCTCTACCCTTCCTTCTGTATGCTCACCATGTAGGAAATCCTACCCTTCTCTAAATCTACCTGTGTTCCTGCTTCTGTGTCTTTTTGAATGGCAACGTCTTCCTCGGGAATGACCTTCCTGCCGCTCCTGTGTCTCACTTATTTAAAATGTCAGCTTCAGCATGAAGCTTTCCCTGTTTCCTTCTATCAGAAATCAGCTCAGAATCTGAGTAACTTCTCTCTGTTCTGAACCCCAAAGCTATCCACAAATCACCACTAAAGACCTCTTTGTTTTAACAAAGGATACGTTTTGCCAACCTGGTTTGAGTTAGTGTGTCAACTTGGAAATACTTAAAATGCTTAAAACACTTTTAATGCAGAATTTAAGTTGATTTAAACTATCCTTGTCCTCAATTTGTCTGAATTGGTAAGTTTATTGTATGGAAAAATAACCTCCCCATCCTCATAAACCCATATCTTAAAAAATAGCAAATGGTTGCGTTATTCCATTTAAATGTCCTCGAGACTTAAAAAGGCAACTACACACTTAAGGTTTTAATGTTTCTGTCGTATTTATCAGTAATTTTAACCCAAGAGGTATTAACAAAGTAGAACTTGTTGTTCACATTGGAAATGAAAGTGCCTCCTGCTCTGCGAATCACCAAGGCAGCGCCGTCCCCATCGGTGGTGTCCTGAGCTTGACAACCAAACCCGGAAATGTTTGTTTCCTTTTTACATAAATAGGAAAGTTGTACTGCTGCACTTGTGACCCTGAGCCTGGCCTCTGCGTTGCACTCTATTCTGGTAAAAATGTCATCTTTCTCTCTCTGTAAAATATTTGGACAATCAGCAGCAACACAACTATAAGCTAGAATGTGAAACAGAGTGAATATTATCAGCAAATAAAATCAACTTGTTGACTTGTGGAAAATTGACCCATGAGGACTTGAGGAGCAGCCATCAAAGCTGGAGCCCCATGTTGAGGTCAGTGCACGGTCTTGGCTGAATCTGGAGATGGACAAGGGCTGGGCATGTGTGTGGGGAAGGGTGCCATAGGGCGCGGGGTTTCAGTGGGTATTAAGATTTAAAGAAAAAAAACCCCACATTGTTCTTTGAAAAGAGATAAATGAAAACTGTTGAAGCAACAGGCCTCCAGGGACTAATTACTTGCCTGCTGTAATTCAGGAACTTCACCGGTGACTTACTTTGACTCAACATGTCAAATGCCAGTTCTGTGTTATGAAATAAAATACATATTCTTTTAATGTAAACAATACAAAAATGTTCTAAAATGTCCCAAGATGTTAGTCACCTTGGACACATTCAGTGTCCCGTGACTTGTCCCCACGGCTTTATGCCCAAAGATCACTTGAAGTGTAAAAGGAAGAGTAGAAGAATAAACAGTGCGGCCATGTAGTTAAAACCCATGGGGGCACCTCCTTCACGTGGGGGCTGAGGAGCATCTAAACAGCCGCTCAGGGGAACTCAAACTTCAACAGCATATGGTGTCGCACATTCAGAATCCAAAAGCGATCCCCAATAAGAGCCCCCCAAACTTAGCTATCTGCATTCTGCTTTCGTTTCATGTAGGTTGTTGCAGGAGATTGGAAGGAGACTGCTGGTCAGCTGGTACCCTGGTAAGTTTGAATCAGCAGTGGGGAAGGTGGTAAAGAGGATGGGTTCCCATCGTACCCCCTGGTTTTCCATGCAAACTGCCTCAGTTTCTCCTAGGGGGTTGTATAGATCAAATACAAAATGTATTTACAGCAGGCTAAGGAGTTGTGCACAGAGAGCATGCAGTAAGTGCCAGCTCTGTTTAAATAGCCCTCTAGGCACAAACACGCATTGACGCTCACTCTGTGCCAGGCTCTGTGGCAGAGTGAAGAGGAGTAAGACTGCATTCAGGAGTACAGGCCCCTGTCTGGCTGCTTCATCTCTGTCTCCTGGCTCAAGGTCTAACAAATAACAAAAACCCAATAAATATCAGTTGAAATAAAGACAGGGTCTCTATCTTCACACTTTCCATAGTTTAGAAACAAACACTTTTTTGGTGAGCAAGATTGTTCCTGAGCTAACATCTGCACCAATCCCCCTCCATTTGGTATGTGGGATGCTGCCACAGCATGGCTTGATGAGTGGTGTGTAGGTCTGCACTCGGGATCTGAAGTGGAGCATGCAAACTTAACCACCATGCTACTGGGCTGGGCCCCAGAAACAAAATCTTTCTAATTACCCAAGGTGCAATCAGAGAAAGAGAGGCCACTCTAAGTATTTATAGCAGAGGAAACTGGTTACCCAGGTGACAGGAGGACTGTGAGCCCAGAGCACAGAGACACTGGAGGGTCCTGCAACCCCACTGGGTGAGAGGGACCAAAAGGGGCCAGGTGTGAGGGTCATCCTATGAAAGCTGAGAACTTGGTTTGTCTGGAAGGAGCTGGAGACCCAGGGAAGACTGCCAGAGATACCACCTAGGTGTGGGGAAATGGTGATGGAGAAATAACCTGGCTTCTCTCTTTCTTGCACTCTCTCTACTAATATGTCTGTCTGGGTGAATCCTGTCAGAAACCAGCTGGCAGAGGAGTCCAGGAAACACAGCCTGAAAGGGTTGACCCCTCCTTCCCTGAAGCTCTATCCCCATAATGCTGAGAGGGGAAGGGTTTGGAATGGCTCTGAGGGCAAACAGGCCCAGGATCAGCATGTCTTGCATTTGGATTGCACTGCACAGCCTAGGAATTAATTTCCTTAATGTACTTCATTTTAGAAATCCACGTGAAAGCTCTACGAGCAGTGCATTCTCACCTCATTTAATGTGTGAGGAAGCTAAGGCTCAGAGACTTCTGGTAAATAGCTCTAGGCCACCTAGTTAGTGCACAGCCCAGCAAGGCTCAAGGTTAGATCTCCCAACCCACATCTAGCACCCCCTCTTCCTCCATGTCACCCTTAGGAGGTTGTTTTTCCTCTCTTAAGAACTTGTAAAAGGTTTCCTTCACTTGCAAAGGTTTCATTTTACAGTGTTCAAGTCCTCAATTGCCTTCTGCCTAGTTGTTCTCCCCATTATTGAAAGTGGGGTACTGGAGTCTCCAACTATTATGGTTGAGTTGTCTGTTTCTCCCTTCATTTCTATCAGTTTTGCATCACATGATTTGGGGCTCTGTTGTTTAGTGCATATATGTTTATAGTGGTATATATTTCTGATTCTTATTATAAAATGTTTCTATTTTTTCTAGTAATACTTTTTGTTTTAAAGTCTATTTTGTCTGATATCAATATAGTCACTACAGCTTTCTTACACTTGCCGTTTGCATGATATATCTTTTCTATCCTGTTACTTTCAGCCCTTTTGTACCTTTGAATCTAAAGTAGGTCTCTTACAGAAAGCATATAATTGAATCTTGTCTTTTTTAAATCCAATCTGACAATCTCTGTCTTTGATTGGATTGTTTAATCCATTCGTATTTAATATTGTTGCTATATTTGGATTTATATCTACCATGTTACTTTTTGTTTCCTATGTCTCATGTCTTTTTTGTTCCAGGTTCAGCATTTTAAAAGATCACTTTATAAAACTATAGATTTGGGTTTTAGGTGCAAAATTTAATAAGAAAATATTAGTTTTCTTTCCTCCCTTTGTGCATGCAGATCCTTCAAGGTCTTCCTTGTGAGGAACACAAAAACCTCTTCACCTTGCAAGTCCTGGTGAGCCACTCCGGGGAGGGGATACGGGGATGAGATGTGGTTAGGGAAATGCTCAGTAGCACCTTAGCCACCACTCTCCCTTCCTTACACCTCTTTATAGAAAAACTCCTCAAGTCATTTCAGGCATGTTAAGAGGCTAGTGTCTGAATGGCAAAGGAATTCTCCTGGATCTAGCTATCACTGCCCACGAGGAAGAGAAGGGTGGCTCTCTGAGGATCACATCAGGCTAAAGCACTTTCCCCCACAGCTCCCAACACTGGAGCATCAGCCAAGGCTTCTCCCTCACCAAAATGGACATTAGCTTACTCCCTGAAAACTGCAGCCTGGTTGTAAATGATAACAGGGAAGCCAATTTGGCAAATATCTTAGAGAAAAAATCTCTGAGATATTATCAAGCGAATAAAGTAGAAAATTATACTCCTTCCTGAACCCACCAGGTACAACTAAGGATGCATGTGGAAGGGACCAGGGGAACACAGGTTTGGAAGACAGTTTTTGATCCTAGTTAAATGGTAATGTGCCAGCTGCTTTTCTTTTGTTACATGTCCTTTATTTTTGTTTTTAAAAATATTATAATACTTTTTGATTTTTGGTGTAAGAAGCAATAAAAAATGAAAAATTAAGGACGTACTGGTGAAAAGGAGGAGGGAGGTAAGGAAAAGTTTGGAGAGAGAGAATATGAAAAGAGGGAGGTTCAACCTTATTAGGGCTGCAGACAAAAGATAATCCCCTCACGTTTTGAGCCAGCTACACTTGATGAATAATGAAAGGAGATCTGAGCCTCATGTATGTTTTAATATTTACTTAGTGTAGTAAAAGATTGGGGAAAAATAAAGTAAGGTATCACAGGGAGTTCAAGACCTAAAATGGACCATCTGAAACATGATCTTAAAAAAAGATACTGTGGTTCCAGTCCAAAGACTTTAATTTCACACAAGGGAATAGGAAACTTCATGCCTGTAAAGCATTTTTTATGTCTGCCTATTTGCCCTGGGGGAGAAAGCAGAAGGCTCATCTCTGCGCCCCCATCCTCTCTGAGCTCTGCAGGCGGAGACTGCTTCTGTCCGCTCCTGTTCTATGCTGCTGCCTGTGACTCTCTGTAGGACCCTGTCCCTGGGCCAGCTGCATCTCAGGCCCCATGTCCAGGATCCCACCTTGTTTCCAAAACCACCTTGGATGTCACTGCCTCGTGGAACCTTCCTGACCCCGTTTTAAAAGGGCACTTGGATCCCCTACAGTTGCATCCCAGAGCTCCTAGATTCTGTCCTCCTAGGAGAAACAGTCACTTCTTAGGTTGGGTCACGGTACCTGTTGGGTGGATTTATATGTGTCACCTTAGCTAAGCTGAAATGTTATTCCCCAGAATTCTGTGCTCAGTTGTCTCAACAATTCTCTGAATTGTTCCAAGAGAGTGTGGACCACACTTTACATGAGATGTGGAAAGTCACTGCTAAGGAGCAGCCTACCCTCTTAGAGGTCAGTACAGATCATTGTTGCTGCGGCAGCCACCAGTGGAGCTTCCAGGGTCCTGCTGCACCTCCTGCTCCAGTCTCTCCAACAAGAGATCAAAGCAGTTCCAGTTGGTCCTTATTGGTCTGGTGCTGCCAAAAGGGGATCCTTCTTCTCATGCTTCCTACATTTCGTGTCCATCATCCTTCCCACAGGCTCCAGGCTTGGGCATCTGATACAGAAGCAGCAACCTCACATGGACTGCGTCCAGCCTAATCCCTGGGATAAATGCCTAGGACATAGGCCCAGTGGTTCTCTTTGTGGTGGGCCATTGACTGGGGCTCACCCGCATGCCACTCTACCTCTCTTTCAGGCTGGCTCAGGGATCAGGTCCGATTCTTCCTAGCAAGTTCATGTACACAGGTACTCACAGAACACAGGCTGGTTTGGGGACTTCATTATCTTCAAGCTTAGATTCCCTTGCAGGCCGATAGTGGGGTGAGTCTGAGCACAGCAAGGCCTGGCTGTGTCCCACAACTAGGGACGCTTTGTTTTTGAGGGTTCCTCTCACCATGTGACTACTTCTCATGGCAGGTGCTCAAGGATAGGATTCACTCTGATGGCAGTGACTTCTCAGATGCCTTCCTCTGACCAGATGGCCAGGAGATAGAGTGTGCCCCCAGGGACAGAGTGGGTGCTGCCAGCACGGCTGTGGCTCTGCAGACTTGCTGTGCTGCTTCCTCGTTAGGAAGCCCAGGAAGGGACATGGCCTCTTTGCCCCCTTTCGGCACAGATGTGTTTGCCTCTCCAGTATTTCTAATCTGGCCCCAGGTTCTTCCACAGGAGGACAGGCTATGGCTGCTGCCTGGTTTGTGCGACCTAATAATTAGGTCCCTATGATGCCCTGGGCTTCAGTCACTTATGTCCTATCACCTAACTCTGGCTCAGTGTGGCGACTGTGCCTTCCCCTGTGAATGTCTCCCCACTCCTGTGAGTTTCTCTGTCTAGGAGTAGAATGACTTGTGAGGTGCCCAATGAATGGGGGCCAAATCATCCTTTCTATTGGTCCTCTTTGAATTGGAAATTCTCAGCACAAGTCACTACGTTGAATTTAAGAGTGACTTTCAAATGCCGACAAGAGCAAGCCATCTGCATCTGTTGCTGGGTTCCATTCTCAGGACGTGAGGACAAAGCAGGGCCCTCTGAGGTAGCAGACACAAGGCCCAACTCACAGTCTTGCCCCTTGGCCAGTTGGTTGAATGGCAGCTCCATCTCATACTTCCCACCCAAGAGCCTCATTTGAGAGGAGTGACCAGGCCAGTGGAGTGTCACGCTGGGTGTTTTAACAAACTGACCTCCAGGGTTTCTTCCCTTTTATTGTTCCCTAAAGTTCTCTGAAGCACATGTTACCATGGTTACAATGATAGACCCTTGGAGCATCAGCTCTCCAAGTGAGAGGAGACATTCCACTGCCCAGTAGGTTCCTGTCACTTTTGGAAGGGCACTGGATGTCAGCAGAGAAGGAGTGTGGGCATCTGTGGGGTGATGCACTGACCGGTGCTGCACTCTTAGGCTGGGGAGGACTTAGGGGCTGAATGGTGCACCCCCCCAAATTCATATGTTGTAGTTCTAACGCTTAGCACCTCAGAATGTGACTGTATTGGAGGTGGGGCTTTTAAAGAGGTAGTTTAGGTAAAATGAGGTCATTAGGGTGGGCCTTAACCCGATATGCCTGGTGTCCTCATGAGAAGAGGAGATTAGCACACAGACTCACACAGAGGGAGGACCACGTGAGGACGCAGGGAGAAGACAGCCATCTACAATCCAAGGAGAGTGAGCCTCAGAAGACACCAAATCGGCCAACATCTTGATCTCAGACTTCTAGCCTCTAAAATTGTGAGAAAATAAATTTCTGTTGTTTAAGCCACCCAGTATGAGGTATTTTGTTATGGCAGCCCCAGTAAACCAATACGTGTGTCGACTTAATTCCCCTCCATTTCCTCTAATGCCCTCCCCCACCCCATGTGACTTTGATGTATTTAGTGGCCACTCAGTGAGTAGTCATTCAACAGAATGAGACTGAATGCACGTGGCTAGCTTCCCTTTTCACATTCCTTGTGTTTTGGAGACAATGTCTGTATATCACCTTTGGAGGCCCCACTGTGGCCCCTGGCCTGCACTGGCTGCCTCATCTCAGCAAAGTGGGGGGTGGTATTTCCTCCTGGAGGACATGGAAGAGTAGCTACAGGGGTGCGAGGGGCTGGGCCTGGAACCTGGACCTGCAGATCCTGCTCCAGTGAGGTCCCTTCCCTGCTCCAGGCCGGTGGATTCCGCTCCTGTTGCTTATCCTTCATGGCCTCCTCCCTCCTGGCCTCTGCTTCGGCTGAGGAATTCCAAGGACACAGGCATGGAGAGGAGACACACAGAGGACCAGGTCACAGAGCTGAGGGCAACTGTGCCTTGAACATGGATTTCATTGACTTGGGATCTCCCTTTGTCTTACTCGTCTTAAATCTTAGAGACGGCAAATTGTACTTGCCAGTCTTATATATTTCGGCATGGGGATGTGAAAGAAAACCATATGTCAGTCTGCTTTCAGTTTAGTCACGTATATGGTCAATGAGACAGCAGGGCAATTTGTCTGCATGTAAAGCAAAACTATCTCTATTCACTAAAGCTGCCCATTTGTTAAAATGTTATAGTAACAGTCAGACCTTCACTGGGTGATGGTTTACAGTTTCCTGACTGCTTTTACAAGCATTTTTGTTTTAATACATGCGTTATTGTCTCTGTTTTATAAATATAAAATTAAGATCTGCATGCTGTTCTGAGAATCATGGTGAAGTCTCCCTCTATCCTGCTCAGGTCTTGAATCATCCCTTTGTCCAGCGGAGCCATACTGTTTACGCTAGCCGCCTGTTAGTCACTTAGGAGCTGTCTTGGTTATCAAATGGACTGTTGGCGGCATTGCAGTGATTGTGTTCCCTCCTTTTACTTAATAATGGCCCCAAAGTGCAAGATTAGTAATGCTGGCAATTCACGTATGCCTAAGAGAAACCATAAAGTGCTTCCTTTAAGTGAAAATGTGAAAGTTCCTGACTTAATAAGGAAAGAAAAAAAATTGTATGCTGAGGTTGCTAAGATCTACGGTAAGAACAAATCTTCTATTTGTGAAATTGTGAAGAAGGAAAAAGAAGTTCATGCTAGTTTTGCTGTTGCACCTCAAATATGTATGTATAGGAAAAAACAGTATATGTAGGATTCAGTATTATCTGCGGTTTCAGGCATCCACTGAGTGTCTTGGAACGTATCCTCCGTGGGTAAGGGGGACTACCGCATCTCTGTGCCTCTGGCCCAGCACATCAGACCTGCGTGTAACTCAGCCCATTGCACCATTCTCCACTTGGACTATGGGAGATGGCTCCTCAAAATCTGTGAGAACAAGAGAGCTCCTTTTTAGGAAAGCGTGTTTCTAATCCTGCTGGCTTTCCCAATTCCCAGGATCTGAGTCTGTGAGAAGTGCCCCCATCTTCCACCATCTGTAGGCCCAGGCCAGCCTGTGCCTGAGCTGATTCCGACTGGTGTGGTGGTGAGAATGTCAGCAGCTGTCTTTCCCAACCTGGGTCAGAAAATGCCACTGTTTCTCCATGTCCAGGCCCCACTAGAGAGAAGTGGCCGTTTTTGAGAATTATGGCAACCTCTCCCACATGCCCTGTTGAGAAATTGTTGGCCTTCCCTTCTGAGAAGGTTTGGGTGACCTATGTGTCAAATGCTGGCATGGCTCAGAAGCTAGCCATGCTCTGCTACTGCCAGGACCCTGGGCTCCTGAATAGCCCTTGGTGTCCATCAGTACCCACCTGTCTCAGGACCTACGGTGCTGCAGAGTGTCTGAGTTTTAGTTTATCCCAGCCCCTTTCCACATGGGTTTAATTTGAAATTGGGCTCTGCTTGATTTCCTTCTCTGCCTTCTGTTGGAGAGTTTGCCAGCTGTCCTGTCCTAGACTTAAGCCAGTGTTGGACCTAGCGTCTCAGGCCCTGCTCTTAGCGTCCCACACCTGTAGTGGGCAGAATTCTGAGAGTCCCCAAAGATTTCTCTCCCCTGGTGTACACATCCCAAATAAGCTCCTCCCCTTAAGTGAGGGCAAGACTATGAATATGATGGATTAGATTGCAGAGGTGAAGGTCAATTTGCAGATGAAATTAAGATCTCTAATCAGTTGATTTTGAATAATCAACAGGGAGATCACCTGAGCCCTTAAATGAGATTAGGCCCTTCCTGAAGAGAGATTCCAAACCTGAGAGATCCTTCTGCTGGTCTTGAGGAAGTAAGCTGCCACGATGTGAGAGGGCCTGTGGATGGGCCATGAGCGGGGAGCTGAGCGTGACCTCTAGGAGCAGAGAGCAGCCTCTAACTGATGACGTCCAGTGGGCAAGAAAGCTGGGACCACAGTCCTGCAGTTGCAAGGAACTGAATTTGGCCAAGAACTATGTGCACTTGGAAGTAGACCCTGCACTCCAGAAGGAAATGCTCCTCAGCCAAAAGCTTATGAGAGACCCTGCCCAGACTTCTGACCTATAGAAACTGTAAGATAATAAACACGTGTGGTTTCAAGCTGCTAAGTCAGTGAGAATTTGTTACACAGCAATAGAAAACTAATGCAGTAACCCTACTTCTATCTCCCTCCACATGTTGGTTAGGTTTTTATCACAGCTGTCAGGTTTCCTCCCTCTCTCTGCCACTGCCTGACTTCTTCACTGGCCTGCATCCTGGGCTCCCATTCTTCAGACACAATGAGCAATAGGTTCATGGTATGGTTGACAAACCCTAGGCTCTGGGCTATAGCTTATCTTCCCCAAGGTCAACCCCTCTGGCTCCTTGCACTTGAATGAGCGAGAAGGAAGGAGAAAGTTTGGGTCCCATGGTGCTTCTCTGGTGGGCTCCACTCCACATAGCTATGTTCCTAGTTCCTATCAGATAATTTCCAGGACCTTACAGGAACCACAGAGCCCAGCTGCTTGAAATCAGGAATGCTCTCCCAAGCCTTCCCTAAAGAAGGTCAAGAAAACATCACCATTTCCCCAGGCCCAGACCACAGTAACTCGAGACTAGAGAGGAGGGAACATTGTTTAGAATTATAATGCTTTCTCCCATATGCAGGGTTGAGAAATTGTTGACCATCATTGCTTAGGAGGCTTGGTGATTTACTTGTGAAATTCTTAGGAAGGATTGCAATGAGAAGGAAATCACCAAGGTCTCAAGGCTTCTGAGCAGCGTATTTAAAAATATGCTATATATTCAGAAAACACTTAGGATAAACCACAGGAAACACACAGGAGAAAATTCATTCCGTGTCAAAAACAGTTGGAAATGTAAAGCCCCAAAATGTGCCAGTGAAGATGGAAAATGGAGTCAGACCTCCAACTTGATCTCTGTTTATCAAGCAAAACATCTCTTAAGAATTTTTATTTTGATGTAATTATAGATTCATAGGAAAAAAATATCATTGCAAAATGGTACAAAGTCCCATGTCCCTTCACCTAGCTTCCCCCAATGCTGATATTTTATATAACTGTAGTACAATATCCAAAACAGAATTTACATATAATTGGCATTACACATTGTGAGTTGAATTATGTTTCCCCTCCAAAATACATGTTGGAGTCCTAATGTCCCAGGACCTCAGAACATGAACTTCTTCGGAAATAGAGTTGTTGCAGATGTAATTACTTCAGATGAAGTCATATTGGAGTAGGATGGGCTCCTCCTGGTGTCTTACAAGAAGATGACCATGTAAAGACAGAGACACACAGGGCGGATTCCATGTGATAACAAAGGCAGAGATTTGAGTTATGCAGCTCAAGCCAAGGAATGCCAAGGATTGCCAGCAAACCACCAGAAGCTGGGAAGAGGCAAGGAGGGATTCTCCCCTGCAGGTGTCAGAGGGAGCACAGCCCTGCTGACACACCAATTTCAGACTTCAGGCCTCCAGAGCTGTGAGACAATAAATTTCGGTTTTTCGTTTTTTTTTTTTTTGAGGAAGTTTAGCCCTGAGCTAACTACTGCCAATCCTCCTCTTTTTGCTGAAGACGACTGACCCCGAGCTAACGTCCATGCCCATCTTCCTCTACTTTATATGTGGGATGCCTACCACAGCATGGCTTGCCAAGCAGTGCCATGTCAGCACCCGGGATCTGAACCGGCGAACCCCGGGGCGAAGTGGAACATGCGCTCTTAATCACTGTGCCACCGGGCGGGCCCCTTCTGTTGTTTTAAGTCACCCAATTTGTGGTACATTGTTATGGCAGCCTTAAGCAACAACTATAGTACAATACTAGACTAGACTAGTGACTGTGTTCAGTTTTCATCACTTTTTTTACATGCATTCATTCATGTGTGTGCATGTGTATAGTTCAATACAATTTTGTCCCATATATAGATTTGCACAACTGCACAAATATGACATGTTAAGAGGACGAAAATACAAGGTACAGACTGGGAAAAAACATTTGAAAACCAGTTATCTTGAAGAATGCGTATTCTACTGTTTTTGTGTGGAGTGCTCTGTGAATGTGTACAGGCATAACTTATTTTATTGCACTTTGCAGATGTTGCATTTTTTAAAAGACTCTCCACCAGCAAAAAGATTATGACTCACTGAAGGCTCAGATGATGGTTAGCATTTTTTAGCAATAAAGTATTTTTTAGTTAAGGTATGTACACTGTTTTTTAAAGACAATGCCATTGCACACTTAATGGATGATACTATAGTGTAAAGATAACTTTTATATTCACTGGGAAACCAAAAAATTTATGTGACCCACTTTATTGCAATATTTGCTTTATTGCGGTGGTCTGGAACTGAATCCACAACATCTTCAAGTTATGCCATTATTAAATTCTGTTGGTTGATAGTGTTATTAAGTTTTTCTATATCCTTGCTGATTTTTTTTTTGTGTGTGTGTATCTGTCTAGTTGTATGATCAATTCCTGAGGGAGTGGTGTTGAAGTCACTGGCTCTAATTGTGGATTTTAAGTGTTTCTTTTCCAGGTTTTATGAGTTTTTGCTTCAGGTATTTTGAAGCTCTATTATTTGGTACATACACATTTAGGAGTGCTACATCTTCTTGATCACTTTTAGCATTATATTATATTACATCCCTGTTTCTCCCTGATATTTTTGTATGCACTGAAGTCTACCTTATCTGATGTTAATATAGCCACTCCTAAGTATATTAGGTGAGTTTTTTTATAGATAGCATATAGTTGGGTTATGTTTTCTTAACCACTCTGCCAATCTCTGTCTTTTAATTGCTGTATTTAGACCATTTACATTTAATGATTATTGATATGTTAAGACTTAAGTGTGTCATTTTATTATTTGTCTTTATTTATTCTTGCTCTTTCTTGTTCCTCTATTTCCTTTTTCTTGACTTCCTAGAAGTAATTTCTCATTATTTAGAATTTTATTTTGATTTATTTGCAGTATTTTTGAACATATGTTTGTACAGTTTTTTTTAGTGGTTGCGTTAGGTATTACAATATGTGTAAGGAACTTATAATTATCTACTGGTATCATCATTTTGCCACTTTGATTGAAGTGTAAAAACCCTATTTCCACTTGGGTGTCTTTATCCTTCTCAATTTTTAAATCTAATTGTCAATATTTCTTCTACAAAAATTGAACACACATCAGATGACATTATAGTTTTTGCTATGATTATCAAGCATAATTTTAAAACATCATGAAGAGAAGGATAGGAGAAATATATTCCCACTTTTAACCATTTTATTGTTCTTTGTTATCCTTCTGTTATTTCTTTTCTGTTTGGAGAACTTCAGCCATGCTTTAAGAGTATGTCTTCCGGTGACACATTCTTTGAGTCTCCCTCATCTGAGAATAGCCCCATCTTCCTTTCATTGATGAAGGATATTTTCACTTGGTATAGAATTTGGGATTGAACTTTCAGTTCTTGAAAATGTCATGTCACTTCTTTCTGGCCTCCTTCGTTTCAGTTAAGAAATCTGCTGTCATTTGAGTCATTATTCCCTATTGGTAATGCATCATTCCTCTCCACTTTTAAGATGTTTTCTTTTTCTTTCATTTTCAGAAATTTGATGCGTTTTGGCATGAATTTATTTGAGTTTATCCTGTTTGGGGTTTGCTCAGCTTCTTGAGTTTATAGATTTATGTTGTTCAGCATGTAATTTTCAGCCATTATTTCTTTGGATATTTTTCAGCTCCATACTCCCTCATCTCCTTGTGGGTCTTTAATGACATGAATGGTAGATATTTTTGTTGATGTCCTACAGGTCCCTGAGGCTCCTCTCATTTTTTTCCCAGTCTATTTTCTCTCTGCTGTCCAGATAGGGTAGTTTATATTTTTATATCTTGCAGTCCACTGATTCTTTCCTCTGTCCCCTCCATTCTTCTGTAGAGACTATCCATTGAGTTTTTAAGATTTCACTTATTATATTTTTCAGTTCTAAAATTTTCGTTTATTCCTTTTTTATAATTGCTAGCTCTTTGCTGAGATTTTATGTTTTTTTATTTGTTTCAAGATAGTTAAAAATTGCTCATTGAAGAATTACTATAATTGCTACTTTAAAATCCTTATCAGATAATTCCAACATCTGAGTCATGTTCTTAGAATCTGTTGTCTATTCTTATTCATGATATGATTTTTCTGGTTCTTGTTACAATGTGTAGTTTTTTAATGGTATCCTGGACATTTTGGCTATTGTGTTGAGAGTTTCTGGATCCAATTTTGTCTGCTTTCTTTAGAAGTCACTCATCCTGGTTATGTGCAGTACACAGGTCTGGGTTGAGATAGATGTTCATCTCCCTACTCAGCCCTACTCATACCAGGATGAGGGATAGGAAATGGGATGGTGCTAGCATTGCCTCATTGCTGATAAGTTGGAGGAGAAGTTCAGCTTCCCAGTTAGCCCTGCTGATACTGTGGTGGGGGTTGGGGAGTGAAGGAGTTTTCTGTTGATATTTGGCTAGAGTAGAACAATTATTGTCCAAAGACTTTCTGTTCTGTTTTTGATCACCATTTTCCCAGTCCTATAGAATTCAGGATTTTCTTGGGCCTTTTTGTCTGCACCTGTTGGTAGTTCCAGGTTGCATGCTTCTCCAGTGCCCTGACTGAATAACATGGAAGCATAAAGAAAACCCAGGGATCTCACTGCTGTGTTGTTCCTCAAGTCTCAAGGTCCCTAGGAAGTTGCCTTAGTCTTTCCACTTTCCAGAGTCTTCTTATGTTTGGTTTTTTCTTTTGTTAAAATATTCTTAACACAAAATTTACCATTTTTAAGTGAACAGTCCTGCGGAACTAAGTATAGTCGCATTGATGTGCAACCATCACCACCATCATATCTAGATCTTTTCATCTTCCCAAACTGAAATTCTGTCCCCATTAAATAATAACAGCCTATTCTCCCCTCCCCAAACCCTCGGTAACCACCATTCTACTTTTTGTCTTTGTGAATCTGACGGCTCCAGACAGACCTCATGCAAGTGGACTCATAAAATATTTGCCCTTTTGTAATTGGCTTATTTCATTTGGCATAATGTGTCAAGGTTCATCCATGCTGTAGCATGTGTCAGAATTTCCTTCCCTCTTAAAGCTGAATAATATTCCTTTGTGTGTATATACCACATTTTGTTTTTCCACTAATCTGTTGATGGACTCTTGGGTTGCTTCCATCTTTTGGCTATTGTAAATAGTGCTGCTGTGAACATGGGTGTACAAATATCTGTTCAAGACTTTGCTTTCAATTCTTTTGGGTATATACCAAGAAGTGGAATTGCTGTCATAGGTAATTCTATGTTTAAGTTTTTATGTTTGACTTTTTGTGTTATATCCAGTATTTTATATTTTTAAGAGGGAAAACTAGGGAGGAAATGAGACTACTCCACCTTGGCTGGAACTGGCAAGCTAATCAATTAAAAAAATATTTTTCTTAGAGTTAAGAAATAAAACACATTACAACATAACTGTAATCTCTTAGATTACAATCTCAAGGATCTCTTGAAGTTTGTGTCAAGATCACGAACACACGTCTCCTTGGAATCCATACTTGCTTCTGACACCCGGCAAGTTTTCCTGATGAATGGTTAGCTTCCAGGCCCTCTGGTCAACCAAGAAGTATAAATCCAGTGAAGCAAATTATTTTCTGACTTCTTCAGTGTGATTTTTTTCTTTATTGGATCTGCTAACATATAAGTAACACAGAGGTGTTACAATAAAGCTCATAATAATCCTTTTCCTTTTTCAAGAAACTTTCGTTTCTGTGATCTCACTGATCCCCATAACATGACTGTGAAGGAAGCAATCAAAGCCAAAGTCATTTATCTCAATTATATAGAGAAGGAAATGGGCTCAGAGAAGTAGATTTGGATGAGAATTCTGTAGCTTTTGATGCTTAAGCCAATGTTCTTGCTTAACATAGTACCCATATCACTTGATTGAATTAATGACAGTAGGACCACTTCAACATTTTTGATTATCAGCTCCATCTTTATCAATAGAGAATGTCTTGTAAATGGGGCTGTGCCTTGTTTCTTAGCCTGGGAACTGTGAGAAAAGGATAAGGATGGAGGGAGCAGGTTGGTGGGTTGAGAACATCTGGTTTGCATTTGGCATTGGAAGGGATAATAACTCTGTTACCCAGCCTTGTAGTTTCTCTTTCTGATTTATCATTTGAGACTGGCTTGGTCTACCCTGGAGCAGGACATTAACATTAATACAAACTGAGGCACATTTTTTGTGAATTTTAGAACTCAGGGCCACCTATGGTTGAGGATTGTGTGTACAGATGACTTAGTGGTGGAACAGCTCACATCAGGCTGGGGTAACAAAGACAGAGGCAGCAGGAGGTCCACAGAAGAGATCACTGGACACGTCTGCTGATAGATATACCTGAA